ATATTTTCAAAAATGTACTGCTGGTAATATTTTTTTCCAAAAAATTATTGCTGGTAATAATTTTTCTTCAAAAATGTATTGTTGGTAATATTTTTTCCTACGAAAATGTACTGCTGGTAATATTTTTTCCAAAATTTATTGGTGGTAATAATTTTTCTTCAAAAATGTATTGCTGATAATATTTTTTTTTTCAAAAATATATTGCTGGTAATTTTTTTTTCCATAAAAAATTCATCGTTGATAATATTTTTACAAAAACTTATTGCTGGTATTAAAACCTATTTTTACGCTTTCATAGTGTTTTAACCCCAGTTTGGGGGTTAACTATTTGCCCATAGCTGGGACCCTAACAGTTGCTACCATCCCAGGACCTGGGAACACAAACAATTAAGAGGTGGTTCCACGCTTCTCAAAACCTCCTGGTCTGACGCCTTGCTGTTGGATGTAGTTTATCGTCTTAACCAGGACGCGAATGTAGTTTATCGTCATACCCAGGACGCGGATGTAGTTTATCGTCTTACCCAGGATAGCTGTGTATGTGTGTGTGTGTGTGGTAGTATTAGTAGTAGTAGACATTATGTATGATTGCATGCTGATTTTTCGCATGTTGAGTTGTAAAAGAATTACAGATATACCGTTAAATTCATTAAGAATGGATTCAATAAAGGTTGTCGATGTAATATAATGATTTTGACGTATGCTTATATAGGGTGTATTATTAAAACAGATTATATATAAGGGTGTTTCATTAAAACGGATCAGCAGTAAATAAATCAGTGTTATTGGTAAAGATTTATTTATTTCTCTATTAGATCCTGTTATATAAGTCATGGCAATGATGTATAAAAAATAATATCGCCCACATGTCCACCAATGCTTCGGTGGAACAGCTTCACTCGATGGTCAAAATTTTTGATGATGTCTCTGCATACTTGCTCCTCGATCTCACCAATATGCCTTATTAACTCATCCTTCAGCTCTTGAATTGTTGTTGGCTTTTTGACATAGACCTTGCTATTGAGATGACCCCAAATGAAGACATCTAAAGGCGTCAAGTCGCACGATCGTGGTGGCCAATTGACTTCGATCTTTCGAGAGATGATACAACCTGGGAAATTCTCATTTAAATGAACGTCCATTTCGTAAGAGGCTACGATAACTTTAACACGTTGATTGTTAATCTTTCCATGGTTGAAACTGCCAAACACTTAAGTCGTTAAATCTGAAAGAAAAAAAAGATGACTAGACGTTTAAACTTAATTCACATTTAAAATCAGTCCAAGTTACTGGAACTATGAAATTTGAAATTAGGATGGCATTAGTAAAATCGAAGTTATGGCCAGTTTTGTTCCTTTGAATTACGAAAGAGTTTCAACGGTTGTCTAAACGCAAATCTCTTTTGTATTCATATATACGGACTTTTAACTCATGTGATGTCTCCCCAGTATAAAAAACTTTTCATCGTAAACAATTTATTTCATTAATATCGGCATTTGAATTAGTGTTGAATTTATTTTTCTTCACAATTATATATATATATATATATATATATATATATATATATATAACTAAAAAAAAATAAAAAAGAATAAGTAAATAAATAAAAAACAAATAACAATTAATCCCAATAAATAAATGAACAAAGTAACAAATCGACCCCGCTAAAATAACCGTTAGAACTAATAAAAATAAGCATAAATAAGAAAAAAAAAAAAAAAAATAATCAATCCAAATAAATAAACAAATAAATAAAACAAAATAAAATAAACTGCCCCCGCCAAAAAATAACAGACTACAGCCAGCAATCTAAACATTGGACGAACAAGTAGCTTTATCTTCCCAGACCAAAACAAACTATTAAATAAGTGACCTAAGCAAATCCCCCAACAAAAGTTTTTTACTATAATAAAACATCAAAAATGGAAAAGAATAAACAATACAAAATGAAAATGAAAAACAAGTAAAATAAATTAACCCAAATAAATAAGCAAGCCACTCCCAAAAAATAACCGCCAGAATAGATTACCCACAATGCACCACTGACACGTATATATAAATAGCCGAGGAAAAATCCAACATTAGCGGTCTGACGATTGCGTCTAGCATGAAACAGTCTGTCACCTCTGAGTGTTGATTTCAATATTCACTTTTATATATATATATATATATATATATATATATATATATATATATATATATATATTACGAAATGGACAAAAGTCCAACAATTACTTTAGTATATTTTATTGTTATACGTTAATTATATAGAGACGAATATTTAAGTAAATGTTCTGTTTATAATAAACAGTATTATGAATATTTACCGGCCTAAACGTCCTAGAAATTTTCATAAAAAATATTCGTCCTCCGACAGGAATCGAACCTTTATCCTACTTCGGATTGTCTGTCGTGCTATACCACTTTCACTACAGAATAGAGTCTGGTTAGTAAAATCGGCTTTACTTCATTTTAAAACTACAAACTTCCATAATTTCCCCTCGAACGTCCATATCTGCTCGAAGCGTATCTAAATGTAAACAAATATCATTTAAAACAGCATTTACTTAAATATTTGTGTCTATATAAATAACGTATAATATATATATATATATATATATATATATATATATATATATATATATATATATATATATATATGTGTGTGTGTGTGTGTGTATGTGTTTGTGTGTGCAATATCTCTATCTATAAAAGGCCGGCTGTTTGTGTGTCTGTAACGAATGCACGGCCGCAATTTTCGACGGATTTGCACCAAAATTTACATGCACATGCTCCAAGTTAGCGGGAAGGCCAAGACCGACTTTGCATTAATCGATTTTTACATGCTTCTTCGGCAGTTTTCATGTAGTTTGCGGCCATTTTGTACTGCCCAGAGTGAGAGCCTATAGCTGGCTGCCACGAATAGGCAGGAAGATTCTATTGGCCAGCGTGAGAGCCAACAGCTGACTGACACGAATGTTAACTAGCATGCTAGCATGCAAAAAAAAATTGATAGCTGCATTCGTCACAAATGGGAAAAATTTAAATCTGCATGGCACTTTACTCCAATTGGCTCATTCGCTTGCTTAAACTCAACGTTGATTCTGATTCGGCAGAACTGGGTTGGGTGTGAAAAAGTATTTGTTGTTAATATTCTTTTTTCATTCGGTTTTTCCAGTTACGAGTCCTTTTTTAAAGCTGATCGTTTTGTGTTCATTTTGTTTAGTTCTTTTTTCGTAACAGATTTAATGTTTAGTATAGAGCTTAGAAAAAATTCGCAGTGTGTGATAGGCAAGAAGTAAGGCATATAGCAACATCAGCACGGAAAAGGGTACTCCTTTAAAGGCAAGGAAGGGCAAAAATATTTTAAGTCAAGTGATAGCGATTGCTGTATGGGTCGTATGATTTTTGAATCAAGCACGGGCAACGCCGGGCCATGCTGCTAGTATTATATATATTATTTATATATTATACGCGCGGCACTTATTGAAAGCGCTCAATATCAGAGATAGAGCTAACATATTTAGTTGGATTGATGTCACAAACTCACATCAATCCAACTATATATATATATATATATATATATATATATATATATATATATATATATATAGTGAGGGCGATAATGATAGATAAATAGACAGACAGGCAGATAGACAAAACGGAAGAATCAAGCGGAGAGAGGTAAAAACAGATTATCTGAGATTCTGAAAGAGAGAGGGGGGATATATATAGAGAGTGAAGTATAAAATGAGAGAGGTTAAAGATAGCCATAAGAAAAGAGGGAATGAGATAGAGAGAGAGTGTGTGTGTGAGAGAGAGAGAGAACAAGAGAGAAAAAAACAGAATGGCACTATGCCTCTGAATGAGAATGCGACGAGGAAAATGGAGAAGGTTTTAAGAGGGAAATAGAAGAAAAGGGAAACGATGAAAAGGAGGTGAAAGGAAATATTTAAGAAAATGAAAAAGACGAAAGAGAAAGTAAAGATACAGACGAGACGACGTAAAGGCGGGAGGAAATGAGTTCTAGAATCCACTATTTTATTATCGAACCGTTAGCATCATTATTAAAGCTTGATTACGAAGTGCTTAGCCCTGGGGCCTCGTTCTGAAATTGAGTTTCACCCGTCGTCTTTTTCTCCCTTCATTGTCTGAAGAACGAACTCGGATGTTCGGCACTTCTGAAAACATTCAAACACCGACAAATGTCTGACCTTTGGTCCAAGAAAGAAATTTTCTTTTTCTTTTCTGTTTTTAAATTTATTTTTAAGTACTTGATGCGAACAAATCTTTCGATTTTATTTAATTTATTCTGTTAGAAATTTGCGTTCTTATTCGCCCCATCGGCATCGTCATCAACTCTAAAATACATTGAATTTTTGTTTTCCTTCCTTTGTTTAGCTTTGTGATTTCGACGCGTTAAACAGCTCTGAAGTAATGGCTGTAGTATTTAAGTCATCGCTTCAGTATACCTTAACAGCAAGACGACTCTTGCTTTTGGTTCAAGACTTAAACCTCAAAAGGAGGCGAGGAAACTTTTCAAATTAAAATATTTCCTTATCTGTAGTAGCCGTCAGCAAAGGAGACAGAATTTCATTCTAATCTTCAATTCAGCGTAAAAGACAACCAAAAAGTGATTTCTAAACGCCAAATAACGGTTAAGTCCTTTTCCCTCGAACTTCTTTTAATCCGACTAAAGTTCCATTAAAGCATTCTATAGTCCGACATTTTAGTCCAACTAACATTTAGCGAAAATATACCAAAAAAGAACGGCTCTCAAAGGTTTAGCCAGAAAATACTTTTTAAATTGAAACAGATAGTAATGATTTATTGATACGAATCCTACTAATTAACCCATAGCTGGGAGGGTAAGCGATATATTCATATCTTTCCAAAGGGTATTTGCAAGTAAATGAATGTAACTAACCCGGCTGGAATTGGAACTTGGGTCTCCTACTTCCAGTTACAAGCCATTATCCGTTTTACCTACAGCACATCCAAACTTACAGCACCTGGTATTCCCAAGCACTCACCCATCTAGGTACTGACCAGGCTTGGCATTGCTTAACTACGGTGATCGTACGAGAAACGATATTTCAATATGATATGGCCGTAAGCTCTACCCGATTTCGAGCGGGACCGTTTTCTTACAGGTAAGAAAATACACCTAACAGAGACACACAAACACAAGCACACAGATCTCTCTCTCTCTCTCTCTCTCTCTCTCTCTCTCTCTCTCTCTCTAAATATATATATATATATATATATCCTCAATCCAAGCCGCTATCCATGACTCCACCGTGCCTCCAGTCGAATCCATTACATTCATTTGTGTGCTAATACCCCCGGGAAAGGTATGAATCCTCTTCTTCTCCCTCCAGCTATGGGTAAAATAGCAGGACAGACTGGGTTCTATAGCCTTGGATGGCAGCTGGTCTAGGAGAAGGACAACTCTGAATTCAAAATCTGTGGAGGGTCGTTTGGGAACCTTGTGGCACTCGGTGCACCAGGTCTCTGTATTCGTCCCTTCAAAAAGTGTGGATGGTCCTGCACGAGGCCTTCACCACTATAACCAAATAATATATAATATAACCGACAGCCCGACACCGGCACATGAGATTTGAATCTCATGTGCCGGTGTCGGGCTGTCGGTTTCCTGGAAACTGATCTGCTTGACCCTCATACGTCGAAAATCGACGGGAGAGTCGACTATATATATATATATATATATATATATATATATATATATATATATATATAGGGTGTATGAAAAATAGTTTTACAATTTTGTTTGAATTGATATCCTTGTCTTTCAAACATTCTAATTCAACACCTACTGGTCTGGTTATTCGAGAGTCTAATATACATACATACATATACATACATATACATACATACATACACACACACACACACACACACACACATATATATATATATATATATATATATATATATTACATTATGAAGACTCTCGAATGCATAATACCATAGAAATTGAATGGGACGGTTTTAAAGTTATGGATGCCTACTAAAATACGTGTACCCACTACACATAGTGATTAAGCCATATATATATATATATATATATATATATATATATATATATATATATGATTCCATTGCGACACCGAAATTACTATGTTTCGAAACTATTCAAGTTTAATTTCAATATTAAGCCTTCAGTATTGGGTGACAGTTTCATCCTCAACCGGTGTTTGGGATAAATCCCTTGAGGTAAAAAAAGCCCGGTAAATATTGTTAATACCGTTTATTATAAACAGAGCATTTACTTAAATATTTGTATCTATAAAAAGAACGCATAAACATAAAAATATCTTAAATAATTGTTGGACAATTGCCAACTGTACCAACGGGACTCGGTGACGAAGGGGTAACGAATTAGGCTACCTTTTCTAGGCCTGTTTGGTAAAGTTGGTATGGCGTTTGCCTCCTATCGTAACCTTTCGGGTTTCAATTCTCGGTAGTGGATACGCACTGCTGATGAGTCCCAAATATAGGACGAAACGGCCGTCAAGTGCTTTCTGCATTCTGTTGAGGTTTCTTCTAGATTCGATGAATTACTTAATTATGATTATTTCAAATCCTCCTAATTATTTCTACTTTTATAAATATATATAATCCGGAGTTCTTTAGTATTTTTGTTTTTATTTTTAAAAAACAGTGCTCCATATAGAAGTAGAGTTTAAATTACAATTATTTTTTAAGAAATATGATTCCTTCGCTACATAAGAGTTCTCATGTTTCAAAAACGAGAGCCGAGATTAATAAAAATCCTAAACTAAAACTAGACAAAAATAATGAAAAATTATGTGATTGTAGAAACTTTGAAGACTGCCCGTTGGAAAATAAATGCCGCACAAAATCTGTGGTATACCAATGCACTATCTCATCTATTTATAGGATATACATTGGTTCAACGAAGAATGAATTTAAAATTAGATGGAGACAACACAAAAGCTCCTTCAATAATATTAGAAATAGAAATCAGACATCTCTATCCAAATATTTTTGGCATTTAAAAGAAATGAATAAAACACTAAAAGTAAAATGGAAAATAATAAATAGAACAAGAACTTGTAAAACCTGGGATGACCCATGCCCTTTATTCCTACATGAAAAACTATACATTATTAAGTTTCTAAATAATGAAAATTTATTAAACCATAGACATGAGTTAACGGTTTCTGCCGACATCAACAAATTTTCGCATTAAATAATTAGCATAAAAAAATTAAATTTCATAGTCTAATAAAAGGTTTAAAAGCTTAACCCAATCACAGGATAGAAAAACTCTTTATGAAGTCGTCAAAAAAATTAATTGTAGTTCAGTGCGACGCGTTTAAGTATGAAACAACCCTCTAGAAAAAAAAAAAATAAATAAAAGAACAAATTGATAAATAAATAAAACAAAATTCTCTAAACGACATATTATGTTGCTAAAAGTAATCTTTCCCTGTGACTGACCAGACGATGTACGCACATGAATGCCATCATTCGCTTTGAAATGGATGCCCCCACCCTACCTCAGCTTGACCTCTTTCCGAAGGTCACTGATATGTGGATAACAATTATCTCATAGACCCCTTATCAAAATGGTCGCCCCAGCCGTTTCCATAGTAATTAATTTTGCGAATGAACATGCTTATAAAGATGCGTAAATTTCAAGTTTGGTTATTCCTAAATTTTCGCTAGAGGATTAAACAGGGCTTGATACTTTAATTCAATTTAATTTTAATAATTATATTGAGGTTTTCGGCTCTCGTTTTTGAAACATGAGAACTCTTATGTAGCGAAAGAATCATTTTTTAAAAAATAATTATATATATATATATATATATATATATATATATATATATATGTAAAAAGTGTATATAAATATAAATAAATATATATATGTATAATTATTTATATATTATATATATGATATTATAAAAAGCGCTCAATATCAGAGATAGAAAGCTACATATTTGGTTGGATAGATGTGAGTTTGTGACCCTGGGTTTCACGCTTTAGCGATCGTCAGACAAACTGATTAAACATGGGATGATTAATCAGTTTGTTTGACGATCGCTAAAGCGTGAAACCCAGGTCACAAACTCACATCTATCCAACCAAATATATATATATATATATATATATATATATATATATATATATATATATATATATTTAACATATATATATTTTAAAATATTTGACGATATACTCACAGTGGAATCATTATTTGTGTTCATTTAGGACTGTTGTGGCTTTCACATGGACCCATATTTCTTCTGGGTGACGTGGACAACATGCTTTGGTATTCTAAGCTCCCTAACAATTTCAAATTGACTCATGTGACATTTCTTTGTGACATTCTATAATGTTCGTTGTCTCCTTGAAAAACACTCTCTCTATTTTCAAGCTTAAATCACCAACACTAAAATGACAGACTGAGTGCTCAAAAATCAACGTTTGATCAGCTCGGGGCCATATGAAGTTGAACCACTGGGAAATATGCTGACATACCTTCATTTACTACATCTGAATTTTCATAAGGTAGAATTCGTATAAAATACAAATGTTATTGTAACCTAATTATGTACAATAATGGATCATATGAAATATAGGTGAACAATTCAATTAGAAAAACTGAAAATCAATAAAATGTATCTAAAACTAAATTAGAGACATGTCGTAATAGTTCATTCCATTTAAAAAAAAAATCAGTAATGTTTTGCGACAATTTTAAACACTAATTTCAGATTTTTCTTGTTGAAGAAATTTAATATATTTAATATTGTAGATAAAAAAATATTAAATTTTATTTCGTGTTTTTTCGAGATTTAACATGAACCAAAAAAAATTCACTAATTTAGAAGAAAAAAAAATAGATTTGAAAACATCGTCAAAATCCGCGAAAATTTTTCTTCTTTTAATATTCAGTTGTACTTAGTTTAGTTTGTACCGTATATAAATGTAGGTAGGAAAATATATATATATATATATTGATAAGATAGCGAGGGTCACAAAAAACTGCTTGGGTTCTGCCATCAGGTTTGGGTCCCTCCTCGTGGTGGGTTTCAGAGGTATTACGCACCGGCCATGGCTATGATTACCTACGTCATTAAGGGATATTGAAAGTAAAAGAAGAAATGAAGAGGAGGAAAAGAAGAGGAGGAAAAGGAGAGGGGGAAAGGGAGAGGGAGAAAGGGAGAGGGGGAAAAGAAGAGGAGGAAAAGAAGGGAAGGGAAAGGAGAGGAAGAAAAGGAGAGTAGGAAAAGAAGAGAGGGAAAAAGGAGTGGGGGAAAACGAGGAAGAAAAGGAGAAGAGGAAAAGAAGAGGGGAAAGAAGACGAGGAAAAGGAGAGGATGAAAAGAAGAGGAGGAAAAGGAGAGGATGAAAAGAAGAGGAGGAAAAGGAGAGGATGAAAAGAAGAGGAGGAAAAGGAGAGGATGAAAAGAAGAGAGCAAAGAGGAGGAAAAGGAGAGGATGAAAAGAAGAGGGGAAAGAAGAAGAGGAAAAGGAGAGGAGGAAAAGAAGAGGATTAAAAGAAGAGGGGAATAAAGAGGAGGAAAAGAAGAGGATGAATAGAAGAGGGGAAGAAGAGGAGGAAAAGGAGAGGAGGAAAAGAAGGGGATGAAAAGGAGAGGAAGAAAAGAAGGGGCGGAAAAGGAGAGGACGAAAAGAAGAAGGAGAAAAGGGAGAGGGGGAAAAGAAGAGGAAGAAAAGTAGAAGACGAAAAGAAGAGGGGGTAAAGGATAGGACGAAAAGAAGAGGGGGTAAAGGAAAGGAGCTAAACAAGAAGGGGGAAAAGAAGAGGTAGAAAAGGAGAGGAAGGAAAGAAGAGTGGGTGGGGAAACGGAGAGGAGAAAATGAAGAGGTGGAAAAACATTTATTTTTTCTTGCCAAAATCAAAAAAAAAAAAAAGAAAAAAAATGACAAAAAAATGACAAAAAAAGATAATCATAAAATGGCTGAACATAAAAATGATTTTGACCATCGCAAGTTGTGTCAAAAACTGTCTGTTCTCGTCTCTCGTCGATTTTTCTAGCCGTCTCTCTTTCTCTCGCTTTTTCTGGACATCATGTCCAGAAAAAGCGATAAAGAAAGAGAGACAGTCGGTGAAATAATTTAAAGTAGACAAATGGCCGCTCATGCCACTCGCTTCCACCACTTCCTCGCCACAACCGTCTTGATAGCCCGTCCTAGTTAACCCGCCCCTTTTGTGTCAGCCGTTATCCGCGCGATGTGTGCAGATTGTTGTTACCTTGGAGAATACTGTAATCATATTGCGGACACAAGAGACAAAAGTGGTAATTTTCTGTTTGTCGGAGTCGGGGGCGCTGAGGCTTCAGAAATGTCAGTACAGAAGCAGGGTCCTAAAAAGGTAACGTAGACAGGAGATGGGAGGGATTCAAAATAAAAGCCAATGGGTATAGTTGTCGAAAAGAGGAAAACATAAGATGTAAGGCTGTGAGAGAGATGGAGGGATAGAGAGAAATTTTGCTGTCAATTTGGAGCGAGGGCGATAAGTTTAAGGCTTGTGCAGGCATAACTATCTACTCACCTCCCCCCGATCCAGTTTAAAAAAAAAAATTATTATCTCGAACAGAGTGTCAGGAGGAGTTAAGTACGTCAAGTCAGAAAAGGATATAAGCAACTTGCACCCCCGAAAAGAGTAAAGAAAATCGTGTGTATATATCACATGACGGATGAATTGTTAAAACAGAATTAAAGGTTTATATTTATATCACGTGAAGATAAGTTCGCGCGGAAAAATAATGGCCGAATAAAATATATTATCCTCCGAGAAAAAAAAAAAAACAGATTTATTAAAAGATTTCAATATTTTTATTAATGCCATACTAAGAGTAGTTTTAACAGGTAGTTGAAAATATGACACCGAAATCCGAAGACACATTTTTTTAATCATTTCACTCCAAGGAAGGCAAAAAAGCCACTAAGACGTAAGGTGTTACCGAGTGTGAGAGAATATGAGAAAAACAAAAATAATTATTTAGAAGAGAAAACAATAAAAGAAGATTGGCTGATTTTTTCATGTTTTAAGGCTTTTGCAGGTTATTTAAAGCCAGAAAATAGTTTTAGATTGCAAGACATTTTATCGAGATAATAATGATTAACTAAGAGGAGAAGTTGTTGACAAGATGTAAGTTATAAAAGCGCTTGAGTAGATTTGATTCATTTTTTACGGTTTATCAACCCTTTGCAGATTATTTAAAGCCTGAAAATATTTCTAAGTTGTAAGACAATATTTTGGACATAACAAAGATTTAGTGATACAGGTTTTACTAATTAACCCAAATTAACCCAGAGCTGATGGTTGAAGAGGGTGATTCATATCTTTCACAAGGTTATTTGCACTTAAGTGTATATAAAGAAATGAAATTGGAACTCGACTCTCAGATTAACAATTCCGAGCCATTATTCATTAAACTACACACACGGACAAGCTTTCAGCACCTGCCATTACCAAGCGGCAACCGATCTAAGTACTGACCAGGCTCGATGTTGCTTAACTTCGGTTATCGTAGGCGAACCGGTGTTTCAACTTGATATGGCCGTAATAAAAAAAGAACAGGACCTAAGAACATAGAAGATAGCGATTGACATTTCATTTGAATTTTTGAAGATCAAAGTTAACAGGACTTAAGAACACAGAAGATAGCGATTGACATTTCATTTGAATTTTTGAACATCAAAGTTAATAGGACTTAAGAAAATAGAAGATAGCGATTGACATTTCATTTGAGTTTTTGAAGATCAAAGTTGATTGGAAGGCAAGAAGCCAGAACTGAGTTCTACAAGGAGAAGGTCTATAGAAGAAACTGTTAGCATAGAACTTGCGGTTGCATGTAGCCATTTCAACTCTAAAAAGATGCGACCTTGCTGCCAATCTAATACTGTGCTTATATTTATAAAGTTGAAGTAACAAAGAGGAAAGCTCATTAAAACAATTACCCTGAAGATATTCATAGAAAAAACACAAGGGAAGGATTCTTACGGTGGTGGAAAGGTGGATGAAGCCGAGATGCCAGGTCAGGACCGATATTATTGAAGATTCTTCTTTGGATTTTATCAAGAAGCTCTAACTATTTAGCAGAAACAACAGACCAAATATGACAGCAATATTCAAAGCATGGACGAATGGTAGACTTATAAATATCCAAAATAGATTCTGATGAAAAAAATTGTCTGGCGCTACACAGTTAACTGACATACAGTAGAATCCCTCATATGCGGACTCCCTCATATCCCGAATCCCGCATATCCGGACAGGATTTTGATGTATATATTTGAACTATTTCGATGATATGTAACTGATTTGAAATTTCTGCTTATCAGGAAATATACTTTGGATAATTGCTTATGCTTATTTCACCCTAATGGCTTGTATTGGTGCAAAGGATGATGGGAATAAGAGGAAAGGATGACAACGAGACACATCTGCAACAAGATAGCGAGGAGATGCATGATTGTGATGAAACTTGGACTGAAATTGAAAAGGCTATTGAAAAGGTTGTCAGTTTTATGGAAAGAAAGCCAGCATTCAGTTTACTATAAAACATTGAAATATTTTGAACACACTTTGGCTTCAACTAAATATATTTTGAACGCAACTATAAAAAAATAATTTAAAAATGTATTGTTGGTCATTTTTGAAAGCAGGGCAGAGGGAGGGCGGAGAAGGGGAGGGAAAGAGAACGAGAAAGGGGAGAGTGAGGGGAAAGAAAGACAGAAAAACGTTACTGGAACAACAGACGTGAAGAAAGAAAAACATTTAATTAATATCCAACTGATTTCCACCGTAAAAAATGAAAGAAAAATAAGAAAAGAAAAAGGCAATTGATAAGAGTTAAAAAGTTCGAAGAGTAATCTATGTCACACTTAGCATTGGTGCATTATTATTATTATTATTATTATTATTATTATTATTATTGTTGTTGTTAGTGCTGTTGCTGTTTCTTGAAGAAATTTCGTTTGTGATGAAATGCTGTCATTCGTTCAGTAAATTTATATAACTATAAAACAACATAAGATTCACATCTATCTATCTATCTATCTATCTATCTATCTATCTATCTATCTATCTATCTATCTCATTGTGTTCATATCTATCTATCTATCTATCTATCTATCTATCTATCTATCTATCTATCTATCTATCTATCTCAGTCTGTTCATTTCTATCTCACTCTGTTCATATCTATCTGTCTATATATCTATTATTTTAATATCTATCTATCTATCTATCAATCTATCTGTTTATTCATATCTATCTATCT